AGGGTATAATGTTCCCCAAGAAAGAGAAGGAATTGGTAGACGGTTTTAGAAGCAAGGAAGAAGAGTGGCAAGATAACCAGGATCAGTATCCCTTGGGATGGAGGGATTAATTGACACATTGGCATCGAGAATAGTGGAGAGTATATGTCTCCTATGTCTTGGGTTAGTGACTGATGAGGATGCCTCTAGAACAAGGCAAAAAAAAAAAAAAAACACTCGCGGAATCATGTTTTTGTCTATGCCAAGAATTACCGTCAAACTCTAGACATTGCGCCTCTGACAAATAACTCTCTCTAATCAGCGCAACGTTCCCCTAAAATTTGCTATAGAGAGACGCGACAGCATACCTCGATGAAGGGCACGTCGAGGTAACAGATTGGAATTTAATACGTGTGGGGTGACATCCGCAAGTAAGCGAAAAGCCTTTGCTTATACCATTTGTGACTAAAACCTTTCGTCAGTAATTGTTCAAGGACGCGCGATGAGCATCGTATAGCTTTGACAAATTGTTGAAAGTTGCAAAGTTAACTGCGTGAAAGTTTCGGATATTATACGAATAACTTAGCGGCTTTTTTTTGATAATTTAGTGAAAATTCCCACCGCTGTCACCATGTAACTTCATTTGAAAAATTAGTATAGATTTTGTAGTATATATAAATTAATTCTTTCTGCTGTTGCGATGAGAAATGAAAACTTGAAAAATCCCATCGCTGCCACCAGGAAACTTTGTATTCGAAACGAGCGGATTTTTTGATAACTTTATTTTTGCTACTACTGAGGAGAAAAGTGAAAAATCCCACCGCTGCCACCAGGGAACTTCATAAACGAAACCAGTGGACTTTTTGATAATTTCCTTTCTGCTATTCAGAAAAAAATCCCACCGCTGTCACCATGTAATTTCAATCTAAAAATTGTTATCAGATTTTGTATTATTTTCCTACTATATTGCAATGAGAAGAAATTTGAAAAATCCCACCGCTGACACCAGGGAACTTCATAACCGAAACCAGTGGACTTTTTTTGATAATTTCCTTCAAAGGTAAGAATCCCACCGCTGTCACCATGTAATTTCATTCTAAAAACTGTTATCAGATTTTGTCTTATTTTCCTATACTATTGCTATGAGAAGAAATTTGAAAAATCCCACCGCTGTCACCAGGTAACAAGATCGTCAAAAAAATAATAATTTTAAATGAAACTTCTTCAATCGCATCATCAAAACTGATTAAAAATCCAGAGGCGCATTTTATATTAGACAATTTTCAGTTAATTACAAAATGAAGGGAACTTTAATGATTACTGGGTCATATCCCCTTAACTTTGAAAACACTTTATGCAAAAGCATTTATCCTTTGAGGTCGCAAATCACGAGGATGGCCAAGCAGTGGTCAGTGGTTGACGATAAGGGACACGAGCTATGTATATACCACCACCTCTTGCATTTGGCGCGGCTGCCTGTATGAATTATGGGCATCCCGACGCTCTCTCATAGTCCGGCGCTCAATTTACAGATGATTCCGCGTGTTACCACTGGTCCGCGTCTGGTTAACCTTCGTGCCAAACACTTAATCTTCTCTCATCCTCCTGTCTCGCTCGTTTCTATATAGAATAGGTCCATTTTGGTACAAATATAATATGATGAAATTGTCGTTTCATATATTACTATATATATATATATATATATATATGTCGGATCCTTTTGGGAATATGTTGTTCATCTCTCACCCCGCGTTGAATGGCGACCCTCGTGGCCCATAAACCTTCTCCTACCCTTCGCCTCTCTGATCGCTATGTATATATACATTGGTTTTCTCCGCACACAGAGAGTATACTATACCTCGAACGCGTGCCCTGACCTCTCCGCAGATTTATGGGTCCTCGATCGTCCGACAATAGCCAACAAGTTGGCGGAAAACGATCCCATGCCAATACGTCTTCTCTACACACTGTACCATCAATATATATATAGTTATATATACGAAAGAACCACTTATTCCACTTTTGGATTTTTCATCCAAATTAATATGATTATATCGATATAAATTGGTGATTGATGAAAAAATAGAAGAATAGAAATATCAATTATATAATTTTAGAAAATTGGTACTAATTTATTTATTGTAGTGGCCTTTGGATGAAAGAATCATTTTCTGACGCACGTTATTTATATCAGAAATGAAAATTTTAATTTCCTTTAGCAACATCTGGATATTTCAGAATTTTACGTACCTTAGTACGTACGTTAGGGATAATAGGATTTCTATGACATATAATTTCTTCAGACCAAATGATATTCCTACTACTTCCGTATACTCTCAAATATATCCGGATGCTGTGATAGTCTAAAGAGCCAAAAATTCTTTTGCTATACTAATTCTTGTTTTCTGTATTCACAAAATCTACATTAATACAATATCATTTAACGTACCATATGGTAAACATTATATTTTAAACCCAAAAGTGCGTTTTCCCTTCTATATAGGGTTGTTTATACTTTAATGATCTTTTTCCATGTTATAGGAAGTAGTGACCATTAAAAATTAGTTTCCCATATAACATTTGTTCAACAGCCCACATGAGAAATTTTCCAGGACAAATGGACCAAATTTGTATTGGATATATTTATAATTTGAAATGCTTTACTTAATTCATGAAGTGCTTTTCCATTGTATTATTGGGTTAAAGGGGGAACCATCGCTCAAGATGCATTTTGTTACGGTGGTTATTTGTCGAGAATCTTTTGCTATATATACATAAAGGATTTTGGTAATTTAGTAGTTGAATGTTTGCAGTATATAGGAAAATGTGTGTATTTCACAACTTCTGTGTTCCAGATGCAGAAATTCATATATGAAAAGGAAAGGAGTGGCTCAAAGAGTGTCATTAGCCGTCGGAAGTCCAGGCACCCTGTGGAGGGTGAAAATGTGGTAGCGGGTAGTTAAACCTCTTGTATGGAGTATATTAAAATTTAAGAATCTGTAGTTAATGTTTTCTATATATAATGATCTTCGAATAATCGTTCAGATCATCAGAGAGAGTTTAATAATTTAATTATGTAAATCGCACAATTAATAAATATTTATTAATTATGCGATTTGAATTAGCGAAATTTAGTATACTCATAGACAAGTATGTTAGTAAAATTTAAGGTTTACTAATTTCAATATTTTTGAAATTTGTGGTCACTACTTAAATCACTACTTAAAATTTACACTACCGAAAAAAAGGAATTGTCAATTCTATAATAACCGGATTTTTAGTATAGAATCAATTTGGTATCCTCCAGTTCGTTATTAAAGAGAAATTAAATTTTGGTCTATTAAAAAGCTGACCCAAATAAAATTGGTGCTAGCTAAAAATCTTGTACAAACGAATCTGAAAAATTCTTTTTGGAACTAGATTTTCAGCGGACAAAAGTTGTACTTTTCTTTCTGCTGAAAGTAGTCCGGATGTATACATAAAAACAAATAGTTTTGGTAGAATATTAGCTTCTGCTCTTTTTTTGAGGTAGAATTTTAATTCTTATACTTTAAAAATTAAAATTCCAAGGAAGAAATTAGAAAATATTAATTAACAAATTATCAATTAGGCTATTCCAGTTAATTAATGATATCGCTAATTAGGAATCAACAAATACTTCAGTGTACTAAAAAATAATTTGCGGTACAAACAAAATGACACTGTTTTCTTGAAGGTATCAAGTGGATCAAAAGTGATACGAAAATTTGGATAAAATTATATGTTTTGATCCAAATATTATTGGTATTATTGCAATTTGGTATCTGCAAATTAACAGTGACAAACAGAATTTTAGAAAGTATAATCCGTATTAAAATCATCAGAATTTGCCCGTTGCAATGGGTACAAACAGAATTTTACAAAGTGTAATCCGTATATTAAAATCATCAGAATTTGCGGTTGCAATTGATACAAACAGAATTTTTGAAAGTATGCCGTATATTAAAATCATCAGAATTTTTACAATGGGTACCAACAGAATTTTTGAAACTGCGTAATCCATATTAAAATCATTAGAATTTTTACAATTGGTACAAATAGAATCTTCGGAAGTATATACTGCATTAAAATCATCAGAATTTTTGCAGCAAACAGAATTTTTGGAAGTGTAATCCGCATTAAAATCATCAAAATGTTTGCAATGGGTACAAACAGAATCTTTTGAAGTATACCGCATTAAAATAATCAGAATTATATTTAAAAGTAGGTATACAAACGGAATCGTTAGATGTATATACAGTATATTAAAATCATCAGAATTTTTACAATGGGTACCAACAGAATTTTTAAAACTGTAATCCACATTAAAATCATTAGAATTTTTACAATTAGTACAAATAGAATCATCAGAAGTAAACTGCATTAAAATGATCAGAATTATTTTAAAATGGGTACAAACAGAATCTTTGGAAGTCTATATATACTGCATTAAAATCATCAGAATTTTTGCAGCAAACAGAATTTTTGGAAGTATAATCCGCATTAAAATCATCAAAATTTTTGCAATGGGTACAAACGGAATCTTTTGAAGTATACAGCATTAAAATAATCAGAATTAATTAAAAATAGGTATACAAACGGAATCTTTAGATGTATATACAGTATATTAAAATCATCAGAATTTTTACAATGGGTATATATACCAACAGAATTTTTGAAACTGTAATCCACATTAAAATCATTAGAATTTTTACAATTGGTACAAATAGAATCTTCGGAAGTAAACTGCATTAAAATGATCAGAATTATTTTAAAATGGGTACAAATAGAATCTTCGGTAGTATATACTGCATTAAAATCATCAGAATTTTTTGCAGCAAACAGAATTTTTGGAAGTGTACTCCGCATTACAATCATCAAAATTTTTGCAATGGGTACAAACAGAATCTTTGGATGTATACCGCATTAAAATCATCAGAATTTTTTGTATATATATATACAAACAGAATCTTTCAATCAGAATTTTCGCAACTTCTTCTTACCTTGCTGATTACTCTTCCTTGTGGTTTTTTTCTCCTTCATCCAAGGATATTCAGGAACATTGACACCTGATGGGTCCGCGACCCCATGTGGATCAATCATTGTATGATAACCAGAATGATGACCACCGGGGCTCATTGGTCCTCCAGCACCAGGCGAATGCTGAAGAGAACCATCGCCCGACAATTGGGGTAATGCGGTCATAAATTCGGCCATTGACGGTTGACTATTAATGAAGCCAGTCTCGGCTGATCCGCAATTTGGGTCCATTACTGGATGAGCCCCGTGCGGGGGCAAAACGGCTCCAGCCCCGGCCCCCGCGGCCACCGAGGCCAGCCAGAAGCCACCACCCCCTCCGTCGTTCGCCAGGACGGGTGTCGGGGACCTCGTCTTCACGGATACAAGCTCCTTATCTCCAATCAGACCCTCAAGTTGGTCCAATTGTGAACCACTTAAATGCGTCTGATGATAATTACTCTCTTCTTGATGAAGCGTCTGTTGTTGTCCTCGCATGAAAACAAATCACGCACTAATTTAATGCTATACCATATCACAAAAAACACTTTCACAAAATGTTTTTTTGACTTTGAAAAATCTGTCTCGAAAATTGAACAAAAATCACTTTTTCAATTGCACTTTTTACAATCACAATTCACTAAAACACTTTTGAAAGGAAAATCCCGAGGATTCAAGAATGCAAACTGTTCCGATCGTACAGCGTACGCGAAATGAAGGAGAAAGAAGAGGTAAGATGAAGAAGAAGAAGAAGAAGAAGGTGGAGACGATGAGATGGTTTGGGAGATTATAAGGCAGAACTTAGCGCGAGAGGTGGAGGACGTTACTCTCTCTTGAAATATATATATCCACACGGGGATCTTTTTCACTTCTCTCCCAAACGTTCACTCTCGTAGTGTGTGCATGGCGTGTCTCTGTTGTTACTACTGTCTCTTTTCTTTAGAGCACACAAGTAAAAGGAGAGGAAGCCGGAGGGCACCTCTTGTAGAGGATCACGTGACATAGAATATGAACCAATGGCGTTACGGTAACGGGCCCGTTGAGTACAACCCTCTTGACGTAGGTGGGCTGGCACCAAAGTTAGGAGGGCACGGGCTTTTAGAACGTAGGTCCGGACTGCGGCAGTGCATATAACCGACTCTTGTGCAGCGGAGCACGAGGCATCCAAGGGCGGCCGCGAACATTGACGCACCGTGGGCGGTACGCGCCAGCGCTCATTCTTGTTACCATCAATGTGGAGGGGGACAATGTCACGTGCTCGACCACGAGGTTTTCCAGGTACTCCACTTCCTCTCATGGAAGAATATATATATATATATATACTATATACAATTTGTTATGCCTCAGGTATATATATATATATTGTAAGAGAGGCAAGGGGGAATCAATTTAGGGAAAAGAATTGAAAGAGAATGTTTTCAAGAGTACTATGGGAATTACAAACTGTCGTTTTGTTACCGATTCAAAACAGTAGAGTTTAACTTTTAATTATAAATGCGGTCTAATTATTTTGTTACCTGATAAGGAACAATCCCTAATAACACAAGATATCTTATGGGATATATTGATAATATCCCGCAGATATCCTAGGGATGTCCTATATGGATATCAAAAGGATCTCTTAAGGATATCCAAAAAAATCGGTGGTTTGGATATCCAATGGATATCTGAGGATATCTTCTGAATATCTCTATAGACTTTCATAAATGTCCTCCAGATATCCCATAGATATCGTCAGGATATCCCACAGATATTATCAGGATATCCCATTAGATATCGTCAGGATATCCCACAGATATTTTCAGGATATTCTCAGTATATCTTCTGGATGTCAAGAAGATATTCTCAGGATACTGTTTTTAAAGTCATTTATGATACTATAATACGAGTGAGAATATTCTGTGAATTAAATTTTATATAAATAAAATAAAGTGCAACTTGTTTTTTCGAGAAAGTTGTTTAATTTGAAAAATTATTAACTAATTTTTTTCTCATTCGTGATTCATTCCTTTATTCATATGCTTTTAATATTGTCAGAAAATAAATTGACTTTAAACAATAATATAAATTCTTCCCCGCAAATAACGAATAACTATTAATATTAATTATACATCTATAAGATTATGCATCCTAAGAATATCCCACGAACATCCTGAAGATATCCCATGGATATCCTGCGATATAATATGCAATAGATATTTTTTGGATGTCTTAGGGATATCCTGTGGATATCCTATGGATGTCCTGTTGATGTCCCACAGACCGGCGGTTTGGATATCCTAGGAATATCCTATGGATATCCCAAGATATCCTGGGGACCATTCTAGGATATCGATCATTGATATGGATATCCTAAGGATATCCTTTTGTTATGAGGGATTTATCAATATCAACTCTCTAAATCTGAATTAGTAAAAATGTTTACTAATTTGAGTTAGTGACTCACTTTTTGCTTCTAAAATTAGTAAAATTTTACTAATTATTAGTAACTTTTACTAACAATTAGTAAAATTTAACTAATTCAAAAGCAAAAAGTGAGTCACTAATTTCAATTAGTAAACATTTTTACTAATTCAGATTTAGAGAGAATATTGATAATTTTCGACTGGAACTTATGAAATCACTCCGGAACGCGGAGGAAGAGGAAAAAGTTTAAATGAGTGATGTATTTAATATAATTACTATGGTTTTGGATTTGGTTTTAGATGACAATTTTCTTTCTTTTTTTTAGATGTTACGAATTTTGATAGAATCAGAAAATGTTCCAAATTATAATTCGACAATAATTTTTTTCAATGTAACACAAAACCAATTTTACTAACTTATTTATGATACTCCAATGGGTGCGTTCACCACACTGTTTTCTTGCGAAGGTATGAAATTTGATACCGAATTGGATCAAAATTAATGGATTTAAATTAACAATGCAATTTCACATTTCTTCACTGATATTGATTGGCCGCCATATTGGATCCGCCATTTTGAATTTTAAAAAACTACCATCAGATTCGTAATCAGTGATTTCAAAAACCCCCCGCAATTAGGCATTTTCAAGAGGATTGAATAACATTTAACTTTTTTGTCCGCCATTTTGAATTTTGAAAAACTAACATTAAATTCGTAATCAGCGACACCAAGAAAATCTCGAGTAACAAATTGCAAGTCAACTTTATGAGAATATATATATTGAACCATGAATTAAAAGTTTTCATAATTTTTGGAGTTTTTAGGCGTAATTTTGAAAAAAAAAAAAGTTTAAATTCCAAAAAGTCGCCATTTCTTTTGATAGTCTAGAAATCAATTGCATAAATTATGGGAAATATTTTTAAAGAAATATCAGAGTTTGAAGTCAGATATCTAAAATTCAGGCGTTAATGGGTTAAAATTAGAATTTGTTTTAAATAAAAATGTTTTGTAAAGAGAAATTGTGTAAAATAAAAATTCTGTAATATAGCGTAAAAATTCTTTATATTGAATCCCGTGTAGAAATTGTCCTATCAGGGCCATAGTATAAGGAATGAAACGTCACACCTGATCAGGGACAAATCAGGGCGACCAGAAAATGTGAATTTCCTAATCAGGGCCACATCAGACGCGGCGTTTCATTTCCTATATAATAGTGCGCAGCCTGATTTGGCTCCGATCTGCGGGCTCTGGCAAAATTTCTGTACGGGATGTTTAGGCAAATTTGATTTAAAATAAATTTTGTCGAATTCTAATTAGAAAAAATAAAAATTTGCCAATATAATAATTGTATATCTAATAGAATTTTTTAAATTTGAAATTAGAAATTTTAATTTCCAGAAATCAAAATATGTGATCATTATATGAAAAAAGTTGCTTCAGCCTTTGATCCAAGATTTTGACTGTAAAAGAAACTATATACACCAAAAGTATATAGAAGAACCAAATTGAGTCAATAAAAATATTTAATCAGTTGACGATTTTTTTAATGTAAAGATTTACAAAAATGAATTTCTTGATAAAAATCAGTGTCTTTATAGAACAGCGAAGACCTCTATTTTTGAAACAGTTTGTAAGCGTCTAGAAAGCGCAAAATGTGTAGTATTAACGGTCGGAACTGATGTGTGTGGGCACCGGCTGTTGTTATATATACGAAGACACGACGGGACAAACCGTGCGGCAGTTTTGATGACAGATTACTCTGATTCGCTTTGTGGCGGGGCTCTCATTTGAACGGCGCACCGATTTGATTGAAAAGTTTACCGCGCGCGAGGTGAAAAAAAGTCCTTCGTCCCTCTTATTTGCAGTATATATATAGCAAATTTCCTTTCATTAAAAAAATAAGGGAGATTGTCTTTATTTTCTATATATACAAGATTCATATTTAAATAAGAAATAATTTTAATATGAAATAATTTTAATTTAAAATAATTTAAATAACAAATAATAATTTAAAGATAAAATAGTGAATAAATAACTTAAATATAACATAATTTAAATATAAAATTAATAAAAACACTTTTTGTAGGATTAAAAATATTACTAAGAATTATTTATATATAGGAGAATAGTAATTATTAAATTTGCCTAAAGTTATTTAATTTAGATTGTCTTTGTAACTGTATACAACTAAAACAAAATCCTTATACTTTTATATATTTCGGTGACAAAGTTGAGAACTCAGCGCCCAATACACGAGGAGTGGGGGTAAAACCAATCATCAAGCGCTCACCCGTACGAAAAGTGGGAGTAGCGTCTAGTGATTTGTTCTCGTATCCCCACCTAACAGTGTTCTCAACTTATTTAATTTTTACATTTTCTTTACTCTCTGAAAAAGACGATTTTTGTTCACCTGTAAAATATATTTTTATATTTTTACATTCATTACTTTTTTTTTAGGTATATTATATACGTTTAATGTAGAGAATTATTAATATAATTATTGTTATTATTTCTATTGTTACCAAAAGGTAAATACTTATTGCATTATACAGAAATTATTTATAATTTTCTGTTTTAAATATATATATATTTATTAGAACAGAATAAAACGTTATATGAAAAATGAACGATAAGTGAGATATTTTCCATATGCACTTGAAATTCGTTGAGTTATATATAAAAACGAGAAACGACAAGTCAACTTTTTTCCAATGAAACGTACGTATACCTCTCTTCTCTTTGCCTCTCTCTCTCTCTCTCTCTCTCTCTCGATTGTAGTTCGTTTTTTTCGCGGTGAATTATTTGATTTCGCGCAGTATGCGGATAGTAGAGAGAGAGAGAGAGAGAGAGAGAGAGAGAGAGAGAGAGAGAGAGGGGGCATGGTTTGGGAGTAAAAGTCACAGGGATGCTGCGAGGGTGGAAAAACCTCCCCTACCCCCCTTGCCCTTTTCATCCCTCTCGACCCCACGAAGAGTTGAGAGGGAGAGCGCACCCGACACATCTGTTGCCAGATTTAACTATACATTACAGACACACGATATGTCAAAGTCCTATACTTCATATCGACTCTGCCATTTATTAAAAGTTTCATCGCGCGCGCATATACCTTGTATATATATATATATATATATATATATATATATATAAGATACAGTATATATCTATTTCTCTCTTACGCGATTCTTTTCTTTTGAGTGCTTTCGCCTCTTTTGAAGAAAAAACCCCTTTTTCCAAATATAACAACTCTCCCGAAACTTCCGGACAAAACGCTGCCGGAGATAGATTCAGATACGTTTATTTACTTTGCAGCAATAAAACTGCGAGACGAACTTTCTTTTCGTCAAAACTTCCATTTTCATAGTTCTCGATTCAAGGTTTTTATTATTTCATGGGGGGCCAGAGATAATTCGTTTGGAATACTTCACATAAACAATTCTTCATTTATTATTATTATTATTATTATTATTTTTTAATATCTTTATAGTTATTACTATTAATTTTTCAATATTATTAATATTATTATTATTATTATTATTATTATTATTATTATTACCACGTAGATCAATATTGATCTATAGATTATATAGATCAATATAAACCATATAGATCAAAGAGAACACATAAAGTAATATAGATCAATGTAGATCATTGAATATTGATATATATTGATCTGTATGATCTATTCGCAT